TTTTTTTTTTGCGGGCGTAATTCCAAAGGATTGTTCATTCAATTCATATTGAAATTAGTGTTTTGATGGTGATTTTTTTTTTCATTCAATGGGAATTCATATATTTTATATGAGAAGAACTATGAATATTCACATTTCTGTTTACTGGATCCGCCACTGATTATACCTCTGGAGTTGGGACATGACCGAAGTCCGTTTTGGTATACCAAATATACCTCCACAGTGCGAAAAAAGCTCCGATTTTTTTATCGGCACTGCCGCAGTGTCAAAACACTGCAGTTTTCTGTCGGCACGGCCACTCGAAAAGCTGCTGTTTAATTATCAAATGGATGTTTTTATCTATAGATTATGGTATCAATAATTGGTTAGGTCTAGCCTAGCCTATAATATTGTTAACATTATATCGTATATGTTTTACAATTAAATTATAATTATTTCTTTTTATTAAATATATACATAGCCTATATCTAGGCCCATACATAAAACAAAAAAATAAAACAACAAAAATTTAAAATAAAATAGTAGTAATAATAATAATAATAATAATAATAATAATAATATAATAATAACCGTGCTCAAAATGAATAAAAATTGTTTAATTAGTGAGATGAATCAGCATATATTAAATCAACTTGAGTCTACGCAAAACCTGTTTTTTTTTTTAAATAAAGGTGTTATCTATTTTATTCTGCTCTTTTAAAAAACAATCTTATAAATTATAAGTTTATTTTCTGTAATTTTATTCTTAATTTTATCTTATAAAATACCGTACATTATAAAGTTTCATTGTAAATTATATGAGAATTTAATCCACATAATTTATGTTTTCTATTATTTAAGCATTTAAACAATTCAGTGGGCCTAACGCTGGATGTAAATGTAAAACAATACAAAAACAAAAAACAAAAGCATCGCCAAAGTGTTTTCATGTATGCAAATGCTAATACTATCGCGCGATTACCGCGTATTTTTGGTAAGCAAAGCTCAGGATGGTTCACACGAGGTGACGAATATCCGTCGAAATGCCGTATAAATAAACTGCAATTATGTAACTAACTTTCACAAGAACTTTACGAATGTCTTAATTAATATAATCTTAATTAATATTTTAAATTAGTTAATTACTAATTAATCAATAGATTGATATAAACATTGTGGCCTTATAACTACAATTTATTTAATATGTTTTAAATAATAAATACAAGAATCCTGCAACGAATTTTTCAGGTCAGAAACTGGCATCAAAAAGTAATAATTTTTCAATCGCGATCTTCGTATTTGTCGGTTCATGGAAATAGCGACGATAAACATATAATAATTAGTTTATAGTTTTTATTATAGTTATTATAATTATATATATTATTATAATTATATATATAATTATTATTATATTATTATATATATATATATATTATATATATAATTATTATTATATACATATATTATTATTATATTTTTATTATATATATATATATATATATATATATATATATATAATTTAATAGACAAATAGGAAAACCCAGAAACAACATGCCGCATAAATCGCGTAAATAATAAGCCTAAAACAATTTATGTATTATGTAAACGTAACAGAGGAGGAAAATCTGATCAGAATGAAGTAAAGAAGTTTAAGCCGTTGGTCTGGTCCCGTGTGCATTTATGGCCCATGTGCACGTTAAAGAACGCAGTACACTTTTCGGAAAAGAGTAGGGGATTGTCTCCCGGTGTACTGTCCCCCGGTGTACTGTCCAATCACCACCAGAAGACCCCACTGGAAGAAAATCTTCTTCTGGACTTTCGTGGGCTATCCTTGGTGTTTACACCGAATAAATTCAATCCAATCCAA